ATATGGGCCTTGTTTTATTATCCATTCATCTACCCTATCTCTTCACATTGAAAAATTTAATCAATTTACATTTAAAGTGATTGATGATAGGCACATAGTTATTGCCGTTTATTATACACATTTATAATCCTTTTTTCTGTTCTTCTTCTTTAAAAAGTCCTTTAACATTTCAGTAATACTGGTTTAGTGCTGATGGACTACTTTAGCATTTTCTTGTCTGGGAAGCTCTTCAGTTTTAAATGATAGCTTTATTAAATAGAGTAGTTTGGGTTGTAGGTCCTTGCTTTGCATTACTTTGAATATTTTGTGTCAATCACTTCTCACCTGAAATGTTTCTGTTGAAAATTCAGCTAACAGTCTTATGGGAGCTCCCTTGTAGGTAAATAATAGCCTTTCTTTTGCTGTTTTTACATTCTTTCTTTGTTCTTAACCTTTGCCATATTAATTATGATGTGCTTTGGTGTGGGTTTCTTTGGGTTCATCTTGTTTGGGACTCTCAGCACATCTTGAACTTGCATGTCCTTTTTCTTCACCAGAGTAAAGAAGTTTTCAGTCATTATCTTTGCAAATAGGTTCTCAATCCCTTGCTCTCTCTTCTCCTCCTGGTACCACTATGATATAAATGTTGTTATGCTTGATGTTGTCCCACAGGTCCCTTAAACTGTTCTCATTTTTAAAAATTCTCTTCTCTTTATACTGTTTTGATTAAATGTTACTTGATATCTTGTTTTCTAAACCACTGGTTCAATCCTCTGCTTCATCTAATCTGTTGCTGATTCCTTCTAGTGTATTCTGCATTTTAGTTATTGTATACTTCATTTCTGACTGGTCCTTTTTTATGATATCTATGTCCCTTTTAATACTTACTATCTCTTTGTTGAAGTTCTCACTGAGGTCATCTATTTTTTCCCCTAAGTTCCTTGAGCAGTCTTATAACCACTGTTTTGAACTCTTTATTTGGTACACTGCCAGCCTGCTATGTTGGAGGAGGGCTCAACATAGAGACAATGGTGGCTGTCCCTTTAGCCCTTGCCCTGAAGCTACACACCTCATTTTCTCCCTGTATGTCTCTGGAAACCCTCCTCCCTCAGCTGCTCTCCCTTCACTGGAGCCCAGGGTGAATGCCTGTGAGCTTATGAGTCTGTGTACAGGTCCTTTAAGAGGATCCTTTGATTCCTAGCAGACTTTCATCTCACCCAGACTGATGAAATCCCTGCTGAATTTTACAGCCGGATGTTTTGAGGACACCATTTCCCAGCACTAGGGCTCCACTGTGTGGAGCCTGATGTGGACTGAGACCCCTCAATCCTTAGGGTCAATCTCTGTGTCTGAGATATCCTTCCTGTGTCTCAATTGCCATATGTGGGTACAGGGCCAGACCGATTAGCATCCCTGCACCTCCTACCAGTCTCCATGTGGCTTCTTCTTTATGTCCTTAGTGACAGAACTTCTGTTTAGCTAGTCTTCATATGGTTCTCCAGGTTGTTCTATAATTTAATTGTAATTTTAATGTGATTATGGGAGGAGGTAAGTGCAGCTTTTACCTACTTCGTTTTCTTGACTAGAACTGTCAAAATTTAAAAACTCATTTTATAAAGAGGGAAACTGAGACTCAAAGACATGAAGTATCCAAGGACATGTGTAATTAATAGCAAGCCTACAATGAAAACAAAAGTGTCCTCTTATCCAGTGTTCTAGACACCCTAATTCTTAGTCCAGCATTCCTTCTATTTCAGCAGACTGGGATCCTAACCTGAGCCAGCTGCCTCTGTAGACAGATCCAGAGGAAGAGCCCCACCCCACTCTCTATACTCTCTTTGTGCTTCTGACTGCTCTTCCAGAGGCACAGGTTTCCAGTTCAATTATGCACCTGGAAAGCTAGTCCTACTCAATGCTGAGCACAGTCAACTTCAACTACCACATCGATCTTATCATTTTTACACTTTTGTGAAAACCTACCTTGTTTCCCCATTCTTATTTTAAAGCAAGGGTTGATATTTCAAAGAATGGCACACAGGCTGGATTTCATTGGCACAGGGGGCAAACATAGGCAGATCAGGTAGAGTAGGCTTTTCCTCCTTGGCCATTACCAAAAGAACTGGCAGCACATTTTCCTCCACCTCATCCTTGCCAGGGAGTACAAGAAAGGAATGCTTTTCTCCACAGCAGGTGGTCCAAAATAGGCCAGAACATTGTCACACTATTTTCAAAAGGATCAGGATGGAGAGTCAAGATATTAGCAACTCAATATAGTCATTGGAATGCAATTAGGCCCCCAAAAAGATTATTTAAGATTCTGAACTACTCAAATAACATTACTCATACTGTCAATCAGTAAAAATATTGAGCACTTACTATTTACTAGACACTATGTTAGGTGACACAACAACTAATAAGATGACTACCTCTCTCCAGATAGTTCACAGTCTAGCAAAAGAAAGTTAGATATGTAAACAAATGACATGCAATACACTAGAAATATGCAGGAACAGCTGTATATCAGAGAGAAATCAGCAATGCAAAAGCAATCTGTGACAACCCTTGTTGTATAAAGCTTGACATTAGGCTCCATGAGAGTTACAAAGACAAGTAACGCACTGGCTTTGAAGGATTACAGTAAAATCTAAAAATGGAAATAGACACATATCTTAAACACACTGTCCAGCTGAGTAAAACACAATGCAAAATGAAGCAAAATTTACTAGGGTGGTAGGTATAAGCTACGTGTTATGGAAACCATTCATTCAAACTAAAATAATCAGGAGAGACTTACAGATATACTTGAATAGGACCTGGAAGGACAAGTAGCATTTTGATAAACTGAGGATGAGGAAGGGCATTTCAGATACAGTACCTTAACAAAAGCCGTATGGGCATTAGAAGGAGGACAATCGGCAACCATAAGCCCAGGCCATGAATCATAGTAGGAGGTGAAGCTAGAAAGGTAGCAGATCTCAAACAGTTACTCGAATACCAATTCTAATGCTAGTGGGTTTGCATTTTCTCCTTTACACAAACTAATGGGATGAGAAAAGTCACAATCAAAGCCATGCTTTGAGAATTATTATTGCAGGAATTTTGAAGGCAGGTGGAAGGCAACAATGGAGAAAAGCAAGGGTGCTATTAAAACAGTGCAAGTGGATGAGAGTGTAAGTTAGAGCAGCGGCAGTAGGTCTAGGAATAGGTAACAGATGTAAGAGACACAGCAACTTCTAAGAAAATCACCTGATCACATGTAGAAAAAGGACCGGAGAGCTCACAGTGACTCCATGTCTTCAAGGATAGATGGTGGTATCAAGACCAGAACTAGGGAAATCATGAGCAGCTGCATTTTACTTTCTCTTCTGCCTGAATCTGCTTTGCCATCAAGATCATCTACCATCCCCCCTGAGATAAAGCTACTCATGGCCTCCCTCACTGATCAATCAGGATCTATCTATCCAGTTAAAACAGAAGTCACTTCAAACACTTGCGACAGAGTAATTTCACCAGGAACTGGTTACCAAGGTGTTTGAGACTGGCATCAGCAAGAGGCTATTGCCATTCCAAGGCTATAAACACAAAAGGTGCAAGTAGTGCCCCAGGAAGCAGTGAAAAGACTCCTTCACCAACTCTCCTTCCTTCTTTCTACTCCTGCTCTCCTACCCTCTGGCAACATATCCCTCTGGCTAAACACAGCTAAAAGCCTGCTGACCAGGGAGTCTGAGAAAGCAGCTTGAAGTGTCAGTTCTCTGAGATATAGATAGATCGGGGCAAGTAGGAATGCATCTCAAACAAGCCCAAGAGTCAGCTAACTTTTTATACACTCCAGTTGTTGAGTTAGAACTGCTAGTCAGCCTGCCTGAATTATATGAGATATCAACCTCATGAATAATATGAAATACCAGCTAAGAGGGCCTGGAGCCATGTTCACCTCACTGGGGAGAAAGGGCAGAGAGAGGGTAACATGTAGCCAACCACATCTGTATCTACTCAGCCCTCATCTTTATCATCCTTATGCTGATGTTCATTGTTCCCGAGGGGAAGCTTCTCTCAAGAATCTGATATCAAAATTCATCTCAAAGAGTGAACAGAAAAAGGAGAAAACCATACCTTTCTCTCTTTCCTTCTTATCCTTCCTCATTCCTCCTCTCCCTTTTTGTGCCTATCATTCTCTATATTTCATTGCCCTCTTTTCCTCTACTTTTATCACTGTTCTCCAGTCTCTTTGTATATTTCCAATCCCTTCCATTTTCGGTCTACATCTTCTCCCTCCAACTGCATCTCATTCCTCCTGAAGAATTGCATGAATTAACAAGTTTCTTGGTTAAACATGCTTCTAATTGTAAATCTCATGTCTCTTGAATCCAGTTATTAATCTCTTAACAGAGCAAACATTCGACAAAGGTGTCAATTCAATAAAAGTAATATATCCTGTCATCATTAAATTATTCCTTTGTTTGTTTGTTTATATGGTGAGATTTTGAGTAGTTTCTGAAATGACCTCCATAACATCTGGTTAGGGGATATGATGAGGAAAGGAATTATTAATTGGGAAATCAAGGTACATGGCACCAGAAGTCTTGAATGTTATGTCAAACATTTATTTGCCCATCAGCCATTAAAATAAACAGAGCTCTTATGGCAGCTTCATATATGTCCATAAATAAATGATATAAGCTCATAAGTAGAGCATCTTTGCTGAGCTTCCGGCAAGTAATAGTTCTTTGAAGAATGAAGAGAGGAAATAATCTTTAGGAACATAGATTTCAATCCTTCCCAGTTTCCTCCATGAAATCAAGCAGGTGTTACTCTCCATTAAGGGGAGGTTCTTCTCTGACCTCGTTTAGGGTTGGAACTTTTGACCAAAATGGTGTCACCCTGAACCCACTCTGACACGCCAACGTAAGAGACCACAAAAGGAGAAAAGTCCTATAAAAAGAGAGAAGATAGCATTACCCTTTGTGCGTCTCAAAGCTGACACAAGCTCGCCCATCTCCAGTGAATCGAGAGAAACTGCAATGGCTCCTGAGAGAACGCCCTCCATGGTGAGTCGTGCACTAACGTGCAATGCTCTTGATGATTCGGATGAGATAATACTTCTAGACTGTGGGCATGAAATTCTGGATTCTGACTATGGAGATCTAAGAATTCTGATCATGTAGAATAGGAAGTGAAAGCTTTGGTAAATACTTGTCACTGTGTAGCATTTTCAAGAACTGATACACATCAGTCTGAGAGATGAGATTAAAACGGAAAGATAGCTTAGACTGGGGCTAAACCACACAAAAGTATCACATAAAGTTGTACAGTAAGAAAGAATGTTTATTGAAAATCTACTTTTCTGAGTACAAGTAATTTAATATAATTCCCCCACAGTATTTTTCTTTAACCCATAATAAGAGAGGTCACTTTCCTTGAGGATTTAATAAATTATGGCAATGATTTTTCTTTCCATTATCCTATTACTTTACCATACTCTTAGCATGCCGAACCCATTTATTCTCATCATATGCAGTGTACCTGTGGTTTAGAATAAATGGTTTTTATATTTTTAAATATTTTTTTGAAATATAATCTGATTATAGAATCAATATATGTAAATTAAGAAAACTGTAAAATATACCTAAGGGGAATATACATAGGGGATCCAGTTTGGGGTTGAATATTTGCCAGTGGTACCAACAGCATTTCTAACACAAATACTGGTATCACTTGGATTCTCTATGGCTTTTTCTTAAGTGCATATTTGCTTTCATGTTGGGTTTCACAGAATGCTAAGTTAGAGAACAATGGTGCAGGAAGGCATTTCCTCCTAGAAAATCAAGGTCAATATTATCCCAATGACCTGGCTCTGACGCATGCACTAACAGGGGGATGACTTGTCATTTTTACTAAAATTACAGCCAGCCAATGCATAATGTGCCTTTCCTAAATCAAAAGATGAATGTTCAAGACTAGTTAAAACTCCATGGTCTTAACATTATTTTGGTCGCCTAACCAGGTACTTATTAAGTGATCTGAAAATTTAGAATAGATGGTTCTGGAGCATAGTATGTTCTCTGTGATTAGCAATACAATCATTATCACAATTTGTTAACAAAAACCACATGCTAATCCAATCTCCCGCTTCTCTCTCCTTTCCCATTCAGTTCCAGTCACTGCTGCAGCTGCTAACTCTGGTGGCTATACTGAAGGCAGGAACAGCAATGCCACGAAATCCAGGATGCCCAAATACTGAGGACAAGGGCTTCCCTCAGAGTGTGAGGGTCAACCTAAACATCCTTAACAAAAAAACGAACTCCACAAGGCCCTCAGATTACTACAACCGATCCACCTCACCTTGGAATCTCCAGTAAGTAAAAGCTCCAGATAAAATCTCTCCATTCTTTTATCTTTTATGCATCAGACTGCCAGTTAAATCACCTTGAGGAAAATTTTACTCACTCAGACTCATCAGTCAAAACTGGAAAGGCCACTGTGCAAAACAATGATTCTCAAACTTTTGTTCCATAAATGTATTTGATAGTCACAAGACACCCTCTCCCTCCCGCCCCGTACCTGTTCTGTTAGATCTCATTGTCACTGACACCAAAAACCCACTCAGATTAATGGTGACCATCATTCTAATATTTATGATACCCAAGTCTATTGTTAGAATCCCAGTGGAGAGAGAAGTATCATGTTGGGTATTTTCACCCGTTTTTCAGTTAGTGTTGATCCCCAACAGACCTGTATTTACTGTGTCCTTAATACATCTAGTATTTAGACCCCATAAGGAATTAAATAATAAATGTATTTTGATAACTGGATTTTATGCAAATAAGCCTCAATTATGTGGCACCTACATATTCATCTGACAGTAGGGTTTCTTCTCCTCTCCCCATTACTAAGTATAGTTCAATTCAAACTCAAAGCAAATCATTCACTCAGCTGGAGGAGAGAGGGAAGAGAGGGTTATAGAGGGGCTTAAGCTTTTGTTTCCAGCCCTACATATCAGCTCTGGGCTCTGTTCCAGGAATGTGTTATCAGATATAGTTTTGATACATTCCATGTTTCAAAGACAGACTTCCTTAAGTGGCATTAACAACTATCTTATTCCTAGATGATTCTCTTGGTCTACCCACCTACCAAATGTACCCTAAAAAAAGTACCCTTTATGTCAAACTTAAATCCCTTCTGCAGCCTCAGTCTTTTTTTTTCATTCTTCAGAGAAGTTGGGAAAAACTGATCATCATCTTTTTTCTATAACATTTCATGTGCTTAAAAATCCAAGTTTTCCTGAACCTACCTTTCTTTTCAGACTAACAGCCCTTAGAGAATTTGCAATGCCTATAATTTGCCACCCTGTGAATTTGTCTCCCTTCAATGATCCCTGTTTGATTCCTTTCCTACTTTATCAGGAATTCACTCTCTTCCTGGTTTTTGTCTCCCCCTGTAGCCGCAATGAGGACCGTGAGAGATACCCCTCTGTGATCTGGGAGGCAAAGTGCCGCAGCTTGTTCTGTGTCAGCCCTGAAGGGAAGATCAACCACCACCTGAACTCCGTCCCCATCCAGCAAGAGATCCTGGTCTTGCGCAGGGATCCTCAGCACTGCCCCCACTCCTTCAGGCTGGAGAAGATGTTGGTGAATGTGGGCTGCACCTGCGTAACCCCCGTCGTCCGCCACCTGGCTTAAGAGTTTCTGCTCTGACGCCAGATCCCCAGAGGAGTTAGGCTCTCTGGGGAGTAAACCCACCCCCATTTCTGACCAAACTCACTAGGGTTCTTAAATGACCTCACTCACCTGAAGTTTCAGAAGTAACACTTTGGTTCAGAGGTTGAGTCTGAATCTCCTTTCCCTTTCTACAGTGTGGAAGCGGGTTTAGACTGAATACCAACTTGCTTCTTATTTTAAGGCTTTTCTAAGGGTTTTAAGTTATTTATGTATTTAATAGGCCCTGAGATAACTTGTGGGCATAAGATGCCATTTTAATGAGTTACGTGCCTTATTTTATGTTTTTTTAAGAAGGCAGTATTTCAGACTTAGGAATTTTATTATTTAAAAGGTAAAACCTATATTTATATGAACTATTTATGGATCTATTATGTTTCTGAAGTCTTTAGTGTGATTGTCTGTTCTGCCTGGGAAAATTCCAGATAGGAATAAAGGGCAGGTGAAAATTTCTGGGTTCGTACTACATATAGATACAGGGTTTCCTCCTCCTTGTCTCTTAGAGGAGCATGGCATAGCTGGGGGGACGGGGGAAAGACTATACCTAATTTCATATTTATTAATTTAATGTTTTAAATTGTTCAAGTTTCACGGAGACAGCAAGTCTAATGCTCTGCTCTGTTAAACCCTTGTAATAAAAATAATTTATAATAATAAAGTTTGGCAAGAAAATGTGCTTCCTTATATTTTCTCATTAAAGTACTTCAGCCAATTAGCCAAAGAACATGGATGGATGACTGAGAGGCACAGACAACAGTGCGGCGATGGCCAGAGGGCAGTGGGCGGGGCGGATGGTGGAGGTGGGCAAAGGGGGGGCGGCGGGGGCGGGGAATGAGAACATCTGTAAAAATAAAGTTAAAAAATAAAAAATAAATAAAAAGAAAAGAATACAAATACATAGAAAAGAATTGATAAGATATGCAAAGTACTTAATTCAGTTTCATGCAAATAGCATTAAAATCTTTCATGGAACTGAAGGTAGGCAAAGGGGTAGAAGGTACGGATGGAAAAACACTTTGCTTGGAGTGACGGGTGCATGACGCAGTGCCGTTGTGGACTTGAAACCTGTATGGTTTTGTAAATCAGTGTCACCCCAATAAATTCATTAAAAAAAATTTTTTTAAACATACTTCAGCCAGCTCAACTCTTCCCTATGTAGAAAAGAATGCAACTTCTCTCATAGAACAAAACAAAGCATGCCTTTGAGTAATAACAGCCTTGACCCACCCACATCCAAGTTCTCAATTTTACATGCTTTCAGGACAATACAGGACCAACGCTCTCATACTATTAACCAGTGCTGTGGACATAAGCATTCCAAAATGAATTTATTTGTTTATAAACAAATAAAATGATGGCTCTGGGAAAATGACAGGTTATTATCAAAGATCATACAGAAAAAAGAAAAGACCCTCCCAAAAATATGAACTGAGGTTTGACAGGAAGGGGGAAGTTCTGAGAGAAGATGTAATTTTCAGACTAGGATATTCAAACTCAAACTCAGGCTTCTTTTGAAAATTAATGCCAATCAGAGATCTAGAAAGAAATATTTTTCTCTTCCTCAGGACACGCCCTGGGATGACCCTCTTTCTCTGAGCTTCTGAACCAATGCATCCCAGGACACAGAAAAGAGCCACAGAAGCGAAACGAACTTGAAAGATGAGAAAAGTTCAGTCCAAGTAAAATAAAAACTGAATCACATTCAATTCCAGAGTAGTTTCAAGTTTCAAGTCAACCATGTTTCCATGCCACAGCCCAGCATGCTGTCTTGCTCTACTTCCGAGGCCCCTGGAAGGTCTCAGACTGGTCCCCCAAGCTCTCCGATTCTTGGAAGACTGCCGTCTGCACTCTGTTCTCCTCTGTGCTTTAGCCCCCCTCAGGGGCCCATGGCTTTGCTCTGTTTCATCTCCAATTCCAAACTCAGAGTCGACCTCTCTAGCCCTCGTCTTTCACTGTTATTTATGCATTTACATCTTGATTCTCATGGCCATCTCCTGTCATAGTCTTTCCATAATAGATGCATAGGCACCTGCCACTGAAGCTTCTCACAGCTTGTATGTTTTAAAACCTCATGTTCAAATCCTGCTTCTCACTTTCCAATTTTCCCTGAATAGTGGTGGGGAAAATGAAAATTGAGTTTTGTCTTGGGATGGGGTGTGTGTGTGTGTGTGTGTGTGTGTGTGTATCTCCTTAGTCCTGAATCATATGTAACTGAGCAAAGTGGGGCTCGTGCACATGGAGCCTTGGTGCATGAGCCAACAATTAGTGTTGAGGGAGACAGGTTCTTATTTACAGGATTCCAGCCTTGGCGGGGAACTGGGAGCACTCCTGCTTGGAGCCCTGCTCTCCCATGAGAGCCAGCACATCCCTTACTCCCCACCAGGCTATAAGTCAAAACCAGCAAAACCAGAAGTTCCTCATATCCTTACCTGTTCTTAAACTGGCTGTGCAAACAGGTCTCCACCCCCTCTGGAATATACACTGGTGGATTTCAAAGTCGCCTTCCTCTCGCAGCAGCTCTCTCCTTCAGGATCTGGGGAACATTGTCCTCAGCCTCCATGTCGTAGTCCAAGGAAACGTGCTGTGTTACACTGGATCATGGTGAAGTCCTGGAAAGCACACATCTCAAGAAAGTGGCCTCTCCATATGTCCTTCAGAGAAGCCAAAGTCAGCGTTCCCCGGTCATAGTTCAGCATTCCAGGCATCTCCCACAAATCCATACTTGGTTCAGCAGGTTCTTGAAATTCCCAGCCCCATTGCTTTTCTGGATCCCCCCACAGTTCCATCAGTTCTCTCCTTTCACTCTTTCCTCAACCCACATGGCCGCCTCCCTACTTTTTTGGCCCTCATGGCAGAATTCTCAGAGAAGCAGAAGTAGCTCCTCCCTCACTACAGACAGCATGGCAGAATATCTCTCACATGGCTGCCCTCTTCGCTATAGGCCAGCACAGCTGCTTGTTGCTTCCCTGCTACCCTTCAGTGGACTGGCCTTCTTCTCTCTGCCCGCCCTTATTTTAAATGCTAACCTAGAGCTTAAGTTACCTCATATCCAGCAACTCCTACCATGAGCTATTTTTGCCATTTCCCCCATATGTTCTACCTTCTTTTGGCTGCCATCTTTAGTTAGAGCAAGAGTATCCCATGACAAGGGAGCTTCCACCTCCCTGCCTCTTGTGCAGGCTGCTGTAAGCTCCCCTAGCTAAGTCATAAGTCACTGAATGCTCTTAAAGTCACATACTCCTTTTGCCCAGGGCAGTAGCACAGCTATTTACTTTCCTTTTGTACTGCAAAGTATCTTAATGGCCGTATCATCTGCTTCCTTCACACCCCAAACAAAGCTGTGAGGAATATTTTTAGGGACCCCCCCCTTTGCACCTTATTACAATTACTTCCCACTAAATTGTATTTCTGGGAATTTTGTGGTGGAAAAAGGCAGTTGCCTTCCATGTCTCCCTTCCCCTGATATACATTGCTTTTACTCTATGTTCATTTTCCCCAGTCAGTACCATTCTCTACTCAGTCATCTCTCCCAGAAATCTCTGAGGCATGCCTGACTCTTCCCTCTTTCTCTTCCTCACTCCTAACACCCACACTCACCAAACTCATTAAATTTCACTTCCTGAAAGTTCTCAAATTATTCCCCTCCCTGCTCCAGTTCAGGAGTTCATCCTTTCTCATTTCTCTCCTCAGCTATTTTGACAGTTTCCCACCTATCCTTGCTGCTGTTGCTTCTGTCCTCCTCAATCCAATCTACAACATCTATGGCACAAAATGAGACGTGACAAAATGCATCCCCTCCAATCTGGCCCTGTTCCTGCTCCAGCTCTATCTCATGCCACTTTCTCCTTGATGTTTACCTACGGTCATGGTGAAGTCCTTCTTGTGACCACCATACTGTTGTTGCTCTCAGTGCCTGTGTCCTGTGGCCCCCCTCTACCTTGAATGCCTGTACCACCTTATCCCTCCTGTTCTTCTATTTCTACCTTATTATTATGATCTGAATATTTGTGTCCCCTCAAAATCCATGTTAAAACCTAACCTCCAAAGTGATAAGATTTAGCAGGTGGGGCTACTGGGGTGATTAAATCACGAGGGCAGAGCTCTCATGAATGGGATTAGTGCCCTTATAAAAGAGAGCCCACACGGCTCCCTCACCCCTTGTGCCAGGTAAAGACACGACAGAAAGTCTTTGACTAGAAGAAAGGCCTTACTGAATTATTTTGGCACCTTGATCTTGGACTTCCAGCTTCCAGAACTATAAAAAATAAATTTCTGTTGTTTATAATCCACCCAGTATGTGGTATTTTATTTTAGAAGCCCAAACAGACTAAAACACCTGTCCTTCCAGCTCTGTCCTATGCCTGGACCCATCCCTGCACTGACGCCAGATGAGGTTCTCCTCTTGTGGGCTCCAGGAGCAGTTTGGGCAAAGTCCATCACTGCTCTTACATGCTATATTGGCTTTATCTACTTTCCCAGTTCATGGTCCCTTAAGACCCAGACCATCAGCACCTGACCTGGCACATAGCAGATAGTAAACTGAAATAAATTTTGAACCAATAGTCTATAGACAGCTCAAAGCCAACAGAGAGAAAGCTAAACTCACTAGCTCTAGTCCCAAACTAGCTTCTCCTACTACCTTTTTTATCCATGCAAATGATATCACCTACTCCTCTGAGTGAGAAACTCATCTGAGGGAAATGAGGGATGAACTTCTCTCCCCCACTCATTCCCCTCATCTAATCAGTGTCAATGCCCTCGTGAGTTTTCCTGTATCCTCTCCCTCCTCTGTCACTCCAAAGTTGCTATTGAAGTTGCATAGTATACTGTGGTGGACACCTGAAACTAATACATTGTGTATCAACTATAACTGAAAAATGAAAATAAAGTTTTTAAAAAATAAAGTTTCATTTACTATGACCCTAACTGGTCTCTGTGCTTTGCTTCTTATAGTCGATCATCTC